TTCGGCCCTGTAAAGTGCTGGGAGGGGGCAGCGGGGGATGCTGTGCCTTGGCTGCTGCAGAGAGTAGGCTGCTAGCAAGGAATGGGGGTGCCCCAGGCCCCTCCACTGTGGGGGCCCCTCCCAAGGATCCCAGAACCAAGGGCAGGTGCATAGTGGCTGAAGACACTGGTGGCTGAGTGGCAGGACCAGGGGGACCAGGGGGACCAGGGGGACCGGGGAGATTATTGCTTGGGGGCAGGGGAGGAGGTGTTAAGGCATCACTACAGTGGAAGAGAGGAGAGTCTGAAGGTGGGGAGGAGGAGGCATGAGGGGCTGGAGGAGAGCCCAGGTCAGAGGGCACCAGGTTGGACCGGAGAGCCGCTCTCCAGTTGTAGGAGGGAGCATTGAGGCTGATAGCAGGTGGAGGAGGTGGGGCTGGAGAGGGAGCATTGCCTCTTGGGAGGAAACAAGGGCTGCTGCTGCCCCCAGAGGGAACTGGATCAGGAAGCCGTGGTGGTGGGAAGAGCCCTGCAGGGCCTGTTAGAGGGGGGAAGGACTGGGGAACTGAGGGTGGTTCTTGGGGAAGGGCGCCAGGACCCCCATTAAGAGGAGTTGTAGGAGGAACTCGACAAGGAGGGCGGACAGAGGGGGGCCCTGGGGACACAGTGTGGAACATTTGGGGGCTTGCTCCCTCTCCTGCAATGAATGAGAAATGAAGGTCAGTTTGTGCATCCCTGTCTTCTCCAGTCCCAGCTCCCACAAGTTCCCAAGCTTATTTGTCTCACAAAGTCGTCCCCGCCAGCTCCACCCTTGTGCTCTCTCACAGAGCCATCCACCTTCCAGACCCTCAGGGTTCCTCATTCTTCCTCAAAGTGGCAAAAAAAACTCACCAGGAGAAGAGTGTGAGCAGGTGGTCTCCATGCTGCGGTACAGAGTTGCCATAGCAACAGCTTTCCGCCTGTGGTTGCACAGCTTGGTCATGTCCTCCTCTGATGCGGGCCCCACCCCAGCCCCACCCGGGGTCACCGGGGCCAAAGGGTCAAAGTTGAAAACCTGTAAGGTAGAAGACATGGACAGGGCCACTGAGGAGGTGGAATCTTAATAAGGTACCATGGTCAGAAATTTGGATCAAGTCTTCCGGCTTATGCCTATAGTTTTTGGCATCCCCAGGACTCTGACCTTGGGGACATTGAGTGGACACTCCAGACCGCACTTGCAGGTCCCATCGCTGAGGAGGTAGCTCCGGGTTTGCTCCAAGGAAGACAGCTCTGTGCCACTTGGGCTGGAAAAGAACAGGGTCATGGGTATGGGGTTAACTGTCAGCCAATCTGAAGAGACTTCCTAAAGGACAGTTAAATGCTTTCCCGGGAAGGGCAAGACGTACAGGCTGTGAGAAGAGACAAAGAGTGAATGGATTCAAAGACCCAGAGATAAAGAGCGAAAAGGCTGCAGAAGGAGGGAAGCTGGGGAAGAGCAACAGGGTCCCAGAAACTCAAGTTTTGAGAGGCGGGGTCATGGCAGGAAAACTCAAGCAACGAAAGGATAGACTAAGGCAACTCGGGAGGTCCCTGAAAAACCATACCTGATATAGAACACGGCACCTTCTCGCACACAGCGCTGCCAACCGATGGGGACAGATGTGGCCACAGGGCCCCCAGCTCTGTCTGCTCCACTGCTCTCATTGCCCCCATTCATTGTGTGTAATCAGCTCCCTTGCGCCTGATAACACAGACATCCATGTGGGCACCAGGACGATTAAACTGGGCTGGGTACCTGAGGGAGAATTCCAGGGAGGCAAAGGCGGTGGGAGACCCAAGGAAACTCAGGCTTCCTGAGTGGCAAAGGGAGCCCCTCGGAGAGCTGGGGAAGAGGGATCCTCTGCCACACCACCATGGCTACCTGAACATCTCTGCAAACATTGTGGGATCCAGTCTAAAGCCGGGGCCACCAGCTTAGCCCACACCTGCAACACAAGGAAAGAGAAGAACCTCTCAAGAATCTACCTAGCTCAAGAAAACACCACAGCCCAGAACACGCACGGAAAGGCCCATGAATGACACCATGCCTTTAAAGACCTTAGGGATCTGCTGGCCATGTCCACAACTGTCCTCTCCAAGCCCAGTCCCTTGAGACCAAAGGAGTTCAGCACCTCAGCTCCCAAGGACCACAAAATAATACCCTAATTTCTCGACATATGAGGGGCTAGTTCCCTTTGTCTAGGAACAGAAGACTTCAACAAGGAGTGTGGGCTAATTCCCATAATGCCAGGCCACTAGGAAGTTTCCCAGTGTCTGGCCACTGCTGTCCCCTCCCCCAGGAAGATCATATAAAAAGTACAGATTGCCCCACAGGTCACCAAGTAATTGCCCAACTGCCTGGCAGGGTGGTACCAGCAGATCTCCCCCCAAGCCCATTCCATCAGACAATCTCAGATCTAATTCATTTGCAGTTCGAGAGAGGCTGGAACCATAGCTCTTTCTCCAGGATCATGAGAAGCTCCTGGTTCTCTCTCAAGCCGAAGAAAAGGGGATTCATAATCTCCCACTGGCTTCCAGTAAGCAAGAAGAAGTATTCTCTGACATGTAGGGACGACCCTTAAGCCTGCAAGTATCCTCACCAACCTCACCATCGCTCCCACCGCACACTGACGGCTTCCAAACTTTCCCTCTCATAACAAGGCGCCCTGTCACCCAGACTGCTTCCTTCAGCTTGGGGAGGAGGGGAAGGCAGGCGCACGAAGTAGGAAGGAACTTGGGGAGAGGGCGGGTGGAGGGTGGGCGAAGCACTGAAGGGAGGGAGGTCAGGAAGGCAGAAGTCAGGCACCGAGGGG